TCTTACCCCTTGTTTAGGAAGACTGAGGCAAAGAACTCATTGAGGAATACAGCCTTGTCCTCCCTGTCTGTCACCAATTGGTTTTGCCCATTCAGTAGTGATCCTATTCCATCCTGGGCCTTCCTTTTCCTCCCTGTATATCTGAAAAACAATTTTTTGTTATCCTTAACTTGGGATGCCATCCTAAGCTCCATGGTAGCTCTGGCTTTTCTAACTGCCTCCCTACAACTGCGAGCTGAGGAGGCATACTCCTCTTTAGTAATCTCTCCCTATTTCTATTGCTTATATGCTCCCCTTTATGCCCTTAGGCTGCTCTGGATTTCTCTGGTCAGCCAAGGAAGCCTCTTGGCCCCTTTCCCCCACATCGGAATCGTCTCTCTCTGTGCCCGAAGGATCGTTTCCTTAAGGCACAGCCACCCTTCCTGGGCTCCCATCTTGCCAAATCTCTTACTCTGCAGTGTGTCATTGACTAAGCGCCTGAGCTCGTTGAAGTCAGCCTTCCTGAAGTCTAGCACTTCCCCCCTACTGGTTACCTTACCCACTCTGTGCCTTATGATGAATTCTTTTATTTGGTGGTCATTGTCTCCCAGGTGACCACTGATCTGTAGGCCCCTTACCATGTCATCCCCTGTTGCCAATACCAGGTCCAGTAAGGCATTCCCCCTAGTGGGACCTTGTACCTCCTGCGTCAGGTGGAGGTCCTGTACACAGGATAGGAACCTGTGTGAAAGATGGGAATTTGCTGTCTCTGTCTCCCAGCAGATGTCAGGGTAGTTTAGGTCCCCCATGACTACCGCCTCCCTAGTCTTTATGGTCTCCGAGAGCTGCCTCAGGAGTTCCAAATCTAGTTCCTCCCCTTGGTGTGGGGATCTGTAGCAGACCCTTACCTCCAAATCCCTTTCTCCTTGACCTCCATGTATCCTAACCCATAATCCTACTTTTTCCTCCTCCGATTCCATTTTGATAAGGGTCAATGTATAACGCTCCTTGACCTAGAGCGCAACCCCTCCCCCTCTCTTCCCCACTCTATCCTTTCTGTATAGCTTATAGCCCTCAATGTTTACTGCCCAGTTGTGGGTAGAATCCCACCAGGTTTCTGTTAACCCCACTAAGTCGTAAGTGTTCTCTGCAAGCAGGCGTGCTAGTTCATCCTGCTTGCTCCCCATGCTCCTAGCACTAGTGTAAAGGCACTTGAGCCCTGTGATTGGTGCCTTTGTCACCCCCCAGCTCTGATGCCCAATGGGCCCTTTATTGCTTACCTGTGCTGTGCTGCTGGACGTCCATGGAATGCAGGTTCCTGATGATCTTTCTTCTGCCTCCCCGTCTGAGCTAATTTGAAGGATCTCCATATCCTTTTCCAGCCTTTTTTCTTTTTTTAAAGAACTCGGGACCAGTTTTTCCAGGGGTCAGTCCCTATCTGGAGCTCTTCTAAATATCTAGCCACTTTGGCTGCTTGCAGACCTTAAAAAAACAAAACGTAGCAGCATTTGCTGTAAACTCATTGCGCTCCTGGGCTGAGCCCAGCATATGCCCAGAAGAGGCAGCATATCAGTTGGACCCAGCTTGCCCACTGTCTGTCTAGATCAGGCGCTTTAGGTAAAAGTGGCCAAAAGCCCTGCTGAAGCTCCAGATCTATACAGATGCTGCGGAGCCAAGTCACAGTAACACTTTGCTTCTTCCAATAAAGTGTGTGTGTGTAAGGTCTGTAGGCTTCCTTCATTGTTTAAAAGAAGTGATTCTTGAGTGGGTGACCCTGGGGTGCTATGAGATCCTTTTGAGGGTGCCACAGGCTGCAAGGAGGTAAGCACAGGAATAAATAAATTAGTTTTTGAAATGGGGTACCACTAGATTCAGAAAGGATATGGAGAGGTGCCTTGAATATAAAAAGATCAAGAGAACTCCTGTTGTAGTTGCATGACAATATCTTTAAATACCTGAAGACTAAAAAGTGGATGACTCATCACTCCAGTCATATGAATTATATCATCTGCTCCCCATGTTAGTGGGTATGGCTAGTAGGGAACTGTGCATGGAACCAATGGGTCTGTTCTGGAAAAAATGAAGATTAAAAGTCATGTTAGGAAGCCAAGGCTCATGCTTAGGCAGTGGAAGAGAAGAAGATACAAGAAGGCAGAAAAAGCTATGGGGTGTGTCCTTACCTGGTCTGCAAGGTCTAAAAACCTAGGCTTGCAGTTTCTGAGGTGCCTCTCCCTCACATGGTTATTCTTCACTTTTTAAACTTGGGAACAAAAAGTATAATGTACACTCAAAACTGAAAATATATTTCTTCAGTCCCAAGCCCTTTGAGGTGATTCCTCAAAATAGCTTTACAGCAGTAGCTTATGAAGGAAAATGGTTTTTCTCTTGTATTTTTTGTAGTTTTTGAAATACGTGATGAAGATGTAGATGCTGTATTGAAGAGTCTGCTCCCCCCTCCACCTCCTGTTAATGATGGAGTTGTACGTCTCCGAGGCCTTCCATTCAGTTGCACTGAAGTAGACATTGAAGAGTTTTTTGCAGGTAACATTTGAGAACGTTTGTTCTTTTCTTTTCAGCCAGTCAGTGCTTATAACTTCCAAATAATATTATGTTATCTAGACTCAGTTCCTGAAACTTGAAGTTGCAAAAATTCGCAAATGCCACAGTGATGTCTTGCTGTCTGCTGGTTACTTCAATACCGATACCTGTTAGAATTACCAGGATAACTGCAGGTCTGAACTTTCCTGTCTTTTCTGAGTGCACCCTCTATAATCATTGAGGGATCACTATGTTTGACCAGGCCATGGGCTGCAGTCTTCTGGAATCAACCATGATTAATTCATCTGGTCTGACTTAGGCTCAGTATCTGCTGCAGCCTTTCCTCTGGAAGTTATGGCCAGTGGTAGCCAGTCAGCTGACTGACATCTTAAAGCAAAATGTTTGTTTAAAGCAGGACTGTCCAACTGTCAGGCTGCATTTGGCTTATGGGCTCCTGCCATGCTGCCATTCCCCCATTTTTTTCTGCTGCTGTGGTAACCAGGTTCTCTGGGACAGGGCAGCACAGCGGGAAGGTGCCCAGTGGGCCCTCTGCTCAGTTGGTGGTGTGTGTGTGTACCCACTTCATGGGGTTTGGGTAGGGCTAATGTGGTGGCAGGCACCTTTCTGCTGTCTGTGCCCTGGGGGTGTTGCTCTGACTGTACAGTAGGGATCCTGTGGAGTTCAGAGTCAGTGTGCCGTCCAGGGCTTGGAACCAATATGGGGTGCAGCCCAAGCTGCTTAGAAGTTGGACAGCTTTGGTTAAAAGCAAAAGCATTTCAGATAGACAGTTTGTTTTCTGTTTTAAGACTTCATGTCTGGTTATCAGTGACTAATCCTCTTTCTACAAATCCTCCAACACCTCTGTGGTGCACAGCGTGGCAGTTAGTTTGCTTGACTTAGAAACGAGTTCACCCCTTTTGTTTCAAGGAATGTCTCTAAATCCTGCTCTGTATTTAATGATCATTTTGCATCCTTTTCTGAGTCAGCTCTTTTTTAACTGTTCCAGAACCTTTTGAAATAATTTAGAAACCAATGCTAACAGAAAATTTTGCTGCTTCCCAGCAGGTCAGGTGGTCAAGCTGCTAGCATCCTGTTTTGACTTTTCAGCATTTTATTTACCTTAATAAAGGGTATGCCTACAGAGGAGTCATTGTTATGACTTCAGTGAAGCCTATCTTTTATGAAGACATAACTAGCCAACATTAAACTAGCTAGTTCAGGTCCTGCCAGCAGTTTGCCTGTGGTAGCATGAAGCTCAGCCTGGGCTGCAGAGCCTGCCTGAGAAACTGTGTAGATGTGTGGGCACCTAGTCTATGCTGAATTCTGTGCTACTGCAGCTAGACTGCTGTCAGGGACCAAGTTGCCTACAGTATCTGCATCTGCTACAGTTTCAATGGGCTGTACAAGCATGGACATTACTGCATTAATTTAACATTTTAAAATGTAAACAGTGTGTCTCAAGTCATAACAGCTAGATAATTTTTAAACCAATTGTGAAAACTAAGAGCTAGAGAATAAGATGACACCAAGTTGGGTAGAGTTGCATACTCTGTGGAGGGTAGGGCTACGATCCAGAATAAATTGGAGAAATGGTCTGAAATCGATCAGTTGAGCTTCAACAAGGACAAATACAAAAGTCCTGCAATTGGGATAGAGTAAATGTTTGCACAAATACAGTCTGGGGAATGCTTGGCTAGGCTGCAGCACAAGAACCTGGGCATTACATTGGGCCATAAACTGAATATGAGCCAAAAGCATACTTTGGTTGCCAAAAATGCCAACAATATACTGGATTCTATTAACAGGAGGATCTCTTGCAAATCAAGGGAAGTGATTCCTCCACTCTATTCAGCAAGTGAGGCCTCACATAGGGTACTGTGTTCAGTTTTGGGGTCTGGACTTCAAGAAAGATATGGACAGATTGAGAAGAGTCTGTTGGAAAGTGACAAAAATGATTAGAGATCTGGTAAGCATGATTTATGAGGAAAGGCTGGAAGAACTACTGTTCTTCAGTATGGAGAAGACTAAGGGGGGGATTTGCTAGCCGTCTTCAAATACCTGAAGAACAATTATAGAGAGGATGGAAATATAGCCTTTTTTCTGTGGCTGTAGGGGAATGGCCTTGAACTGCAGCACAGGAAACTTAGGCTGGAGGTCAGGAAGAACTTTTTGACTATGAGGGTGGTTAAACATTGGAACAAGCTACCTCAGTGTTGTGAAATCTCTATCTCTGGACACTTGACTAGAAAGGTTTAGTCAGGGATGGGTTGACCTTGACTGGAACACAAGACTGGATTAGATGATTCTGTGAGGTCCTTTCCACCCTTACTTTCCTATGATCCTATAGTGAGATGATAGCCTTCCAAAAAAAAACCCAACCAAAGCAATAATTCCATGTGGATTAGTTCAAGCTCAGATTTAACGTTTGGTTAGAATTACATAAATTCTGCATATATTGTCAAGTTGCGATTAATTCTGGATTCTCTGGCCTTCAGGAAGGGATTGTGCAGTGGAAATGCAATGAAGCATTGCAAGTATGGTTGAAAATTTCCTGGTTTCTGTATGAGTTTGTAGACATTGAGAACAAGAGTCTGTAATAAAATGAGTACCTGCCAGAGAAGCAGTAAGAAGTTGTGTTTATATTCCTTTGTTTACAAAAACCCTCAAAAAAAACCACCCCAGAAAATGCAAACAATTGAAATTTTACAGTAATTGCTTATTGCTTGCTGGAAGAATTTGAGAATTAAAGTCTTTGAGACTAAGGCTTACGAGAGAGTACTGTGTTTTCTCACATACAGTGCACACCTCTTTCCAAAATTCTGCTGCTAGAAGTCTGGGTATACATCATAAATGAGGAAATATGGTAATAGCATTTTCTGCTGGGAGAGGGGGAAGGACAGTGAAAGTAATGCTGCAGTGCTAGCTGACTGGACATTTTCATCTGCCACAGTCTCCTGTTGCAGGAGCAAGGAAAAAATATTTTTATTTATTTATTTATTTATGCACTTATTTATATATATTCTCCTCTTCAAAAACAAGTTGTGAATCTTGTTCAGGGATGTGTTGCATGTGCTAAAATATGGTAAAATGCATACAAATCCATCAAATAGTTAAGAAATAAGAAAACAGCTGTCCAATAGGTGATGCATTGTATTAAGCCAGCTTGAAAAGTCAGTTCAGAATTGGATATCCTTTTCCTTATTTTGTATAAATTAAAAAGATGGCTTGCAACCTTTGAGGTACAGCTCACATTTGACAATGCTTTTATCCCCTAAAGGTTTGAGTATTGCTGAGATAACATTTGTTATGGACCCAAGAGGAAAAAGGAAAACTGGAGAAGCCTTTGTGCAGTTTACTGCTCCAGAAATGGCAAAGCAAGCCCTGTTAAAGCATAAGGAGGAAATTGGGCATCGGTATGTGCTTCAGTGTGGTTAACAGGCAGCATTTATGCATATCATAAAGCTAGCTTTATACACGTGTCATTTAAAGTTTGATACAGAGAGTGAATGATCATATTATGTTCCCTTTTTATTGATGATATGATCCTTCACTCCACATCCTCGTTCTTTTACTTCATTTCTTCATAAGAAGAATGAGACTATATGCATTACTGTATGGCCATTTGAAGCTACTATGATGATGATGATTGATTATCACATGTCTGCATAGAGTGGAGATGTAATAGACTGCTTTTTGGTTACATCAGTGATTTGCAAAGTAACTTATTATCCCTTTCACAGACAATAAAGGTAGAGAGGAGCTTCTGGGACACTAAAGCCAAGTCCTGCTAAGGAGTTTGTCCTTGCCTCCTATTGATTTCAGTAGCACTTAGATGCCTAAATACCTTTGAACCAATCCTTAGTTTATTATACACTTAAGATTCTGCAGTCCCTTACTCCCTGCAAGTATTTTATTTATCTTAATTGTGAACACTTACAGTGGTGATTTCTCAGTTACTGCATCTGTACATAGTGATTCCCAGAAGATGGGATAATTCTTTTGTTGGATAGGGAGGATCCTGGGTCGGTATTTCCAAAGCAGGCTCTGTGTTAATAACTGAAATTTGCAAGGACCTGGTACCTGCCAGATACTTAAGAAGAAGACACATTTTCCTCTTTTTTGAAGAGAGCAGAGTCATCCTTTTTAAGGAGAGTTTTAAAAATATTCAGAGAGGGGCCATAAATTAGAAATATGTTGCTTCAACAGTAGCTTGACAAATGTGTTCTGCCTGATATCTACCTCTTATTTCCAAATAATTGTAAAGCATTAAACAATATGGAACTTAAGTACCTCAACCCTATCTTTATTTTTAATATTTGTAGTGGCTGAGTTTATCATTTCTAGGTTGTGTGTTGTAGAAGGGGTGATATACGACCCTGTGCATCCTTGCCACCATGGTTGGCATGGCATCCTCTCTGGTGCCCCCTGCTAACTGCCAGTCCATTCTTTGGGGG